CCGCCGCCTGGCGCATGGGGGGCGCCGGCTCTGCGGGCAAAGGGCGCATGACGCTGGCGGGGGCTCGGCATTCCCGAGGCGCCCGCCTCAACAGGGCCACCCCGAGAATAGCTCCTACGTCCCGGGGAAGGGGTGGAGGCTCGGGGCCGGGGGCGGGCAGAGGCGACGGGCTGCTGGGGGCAGTCAGAAGTACCCAATAATAGCTGACACCGGTTAAGTGCTCATCTTGTGCTTCGCGCGGCGCAAAGTGCCACGCCGAGGAGTTGATGGAAATTGGGGGAGGGTCTGGAGGGATGGAGGGAGATGAGGAAAAGTGGAAGAGGATGTGTCTGCAGGAGTCAGAGGAGCATGCGAGCATACGAGAATAGGAAATAGAAGAATGGAGGTGTCTCGGGGGTAAGGAGATGCTGAAGGGGCGATGCGGCAAGAAGGGACGGATCTGGAGCAAAGCGAGCTCTGAGGGTTTCGGGGGCAATGGGGCGTCTTTAAGACCGATCTGAGAAGGGGTCCCAAGAGGGGATGTCCAGTAATAATGGTGAGACGGGGGCTCCTGGGTCAGTGGGAGAGGTGGGACGATAAAATATTAGGGATTAGGGTCTGAGGGGATTTGGGGGGTTCTGGGGATTGCCAGGAATTAAGGGGCGATCTGGGAATAACGGGAGTCCGAACCAGAAGAAGACAACGAAGCCTACGTGGACTCCAGGAAGAGCGAGAGTCACGGAAGATAGGGACCTAGTCGGGCCACGGGTCACTCACCGGCGTCGGTGGGTCAAGGCTCGGGCTTCTGCGGCCTCTTCCCTACCCCCCAACCCCCGCCTTTCTCCCTCCCCTCTCTTGGCCCCGCCCCTGGCCGCCCCTTGAGCCAGGGCGCAGGCGCGTCTAGCATCAGTCGGCCCCAAAGCCCTCACCGCCTGGGTTTCATTCCATCGTCCCCAACACGGCGCAAGCGCAGAATCGTCCTCCCCCGGGCCCCAGCAGCAGGCCGTCGCTGCGCAGCCGCAAGATTAGCGCGGCGCTCGTTCCCTAGCCCCCTGGTGCCGCAACGGCGCACGCGCAAAGCTCCGAGGGGCGCGTGCGCGTCCCTTGCCACGGCTGGTCAAGGTACGTCGGACTTTGTTTCGGCGCAGGCGTAGCAATCCTTGGAGGAACAGGGGTTGATGCTGGCTACCGCGGAAGGAGTGAGCGGCGTCCCGGCCTTTCGGACAGTCTTCCAGCCCGCCCTGCGCTCTAACTACGCATGTGTCTCTTTCTCTTGGAGAAAGGGGAAGGAGGCTGCGCTGGAAGGTAGCGCTTCGTCTCCATGACAACTGCGTGGGTGGGGTCGGTGTAGGGCGTCAGGAAACCGCGTTGCCGCCTCTCGCAGCCGCCTGGGCACTGGGCGGGTCGGGAACTACTACTGACCGATAGAGGTGGCGCACCCTGGGGATATTCCGCCCTAGGCGGATGCAGCAACCTTAGCAATCCATCGACTTTCTGATCTCGCCTGATGGCCTCCAGTTCACACCTTAAGGTCACGGAGCGGGGAGGCAGATCACGGGGAAAAGTTTCTTGGACGGTAGCGAGAGTGATCCTGGTGCGCGCACGATTTAAGGCAAATGCATGGAGGCAGAAATGAAGCTAGAACACAGGTTGGGTGGACTGGATGACGGAATGATGGAATTAAATACGGCTGAAAATTCTATTCAGTGTGCTGTAGGAGTCCTCAAGGTCATTTCAACAAATGGTGCTTCATTCATCTCTTCAGATATTTAGAGCTCCTACGCAGTTTCAGGTGCAATGAACATAGACAAAATCCATATCCAAATTGAGCTCACTTTTTAGTTTGGAGAAACAGGATAAGCAAAAAAAAAAAAAAGTATAGATGAGAAAGTGATAAGTGTTATGAAGGAAATGGAAGTAGGAAAGAGTTGAGGATGGAAGTTTTTGTGTGTGTATGTCTGTAATTTTAAAATAAGGTGGCTGGCAGAAGCCTTCCTGAGAAAGTGACATTTGAGTAGAGACGTGAAGGAGTTGAGGGAGCAAGTGCAGCCATTAGGAAGAATGTGCTCTGACTCTGGATTTAGTGGCATTTATCTGGAGAACTGACTTTAGGGAGCGAGGGTGGAAGCTGGGTGCCCAGGGAGAAGGCGACTAGAATGGTTCAGGTGAGAGGTGGTGGTGGCTCCAGCCAGGTTGGTAGCTGCAGAGGTGAAGTGAAGTGGAATTAGACCTGGAATATAAGAAAGCGAGGTGTTGAGGGTGACACCAGTGTCTTTGGCGCTGCCAGAAGTAAAGATGGGCAGGGCTACAAAAGGATCAGGAGTTCAAGTTTGCCCAAACTTAAGATGCCCATTAGTGGGCCGGCCCGTGGCTCACTCGGGAGAGTGTGGTGCTGATAACACCAAGGCCCCGGGTTCGGATCCCATATAGGGATGGCAGGTTCGCTCACTGGCTGAGCGTGGTGCTGACAACACCAAGTCAGGGGTTAAGATCCCCTTACCGGTCATCTTTAAAAAAAAAAAAAAAAAAAAAGATGCCCATTAGTTAACCAAGTACAAATGCTGGGTGGGCAGTTGGATATTTGAATCTGGACTTTAGGACAGAGATCTTGACATATAAATCTTGAAATATAAATTTCAAATATAAACTTTTTTTTTTTAAAATAAAAGACGACTGGTATGGGGATCTTAACCCTTGACTTGGTGTTGTCAGCACCATGCTCAGCCAGCGAGCTCACCAGCCATCCGTATATGAGATCCGAACCCGTGGCCTTGGTGTTATCGGCCTTGGTGTTATCAGCACCACACTCTCCCGAGTGAGCCACAGGCTGGCCCTCAAATATAAATCGTGAAGTATCATCTTGAAATATAAATTTGGGAATTGTCAGTGAATAAGTGACATTTAAATCTGTAAGACTAGGAGAGGTTGCTATGGGTCCATGGCCTGAGTCTGGGGGCACTCCAATACGGAAGGCTGGGGCAGGAATTAGCAAAGGAGACTGAGGAGGAGCCATCAGTGAAGCAGGAGGAGAACCGAGGCTGCGTGCTGGCCTGCAGGCCAAGTAAAGGTTGCAAATCAAAAAGGAGAGAAAGACCAGTAGTGCCAAATGTGGCCTAGAGGCTAAGTCCGATGAAGACTGAGAACTGACCTTTGAGGTTAGCAATATGGAAAGTCATCAGTAATCGTGAAAAGAGCAGTTTTGATTGGGTGGGTTTAAGAGGGTTTAGAGAGAGCCAGCATAGATGATCCTTTCTAGCATTCGAGCAGAGGAATGGGGTGGTATCTGGAAGGGAGCATAGGATCATAAGAAGTTTATTTAAGACAGGAGATTTAACAGTATGTTTGTGCACCAAGGAGGACGATCCAGAAGAAGGAAGATTGACACTGCAGAGGAGAGAAGGAGAAATTGCTGGAGCAATTTACATCTGTAAGACTGAGGTTACTAAGGGAGCAGGTACAACTCCTTTAGTTGGCACAGTAGGGGGCACCCAGGGCACAAATGGAGGGTGGTCTAAGGGGCATGGGCTGTTCAGCCACAGTAAATGGGGATGGGGTATATGGGCACAGAGGCAAGCAGGTGTGGAGATGTGGTGTCAGGAATATGTGAACATTCTCTTCTTGTTCCTTTTGTTGTCCCAGTAGAGAAGGCAGGCGGGTCAAGAGTGATAGGGAGGTGCTAAGGTTAGGAGAGACAGGGACAGGGTAATGTAGACAAATGGAACAAACCACTTGAGATTATTGGCTATGAAATTGAGGTGAGGTGAGTCCCTGTGATTATGTGTTTTCTCTGGTCATGTTTCTCTGGGGGTGGGGGGAACAGGTGCAGAGTGGGTGGCCAGCTGACTTTCACCAGTGCTGGGTTTAGATGAGGTCCTACCATGTGCCCCATGAGGGGTCAGGGTCCTTGAATCAGGGGCAGAGTCTTATGGGCAATGTTAAGGAGCTTGAGCATGATCCTATAAGCAGTGGGTTCTGAGCAAGGAAGGACAGGGTCTGATTGTTCCTTTAGGAAGTGCCCCTGGCTGTTGTGTGGAGGGTAGATGAGAGCAGGCAAGACTATTAAGTCAAGGGAAGTCTAGGCCGGGGCAAGGAGGTAATTGGGCATGAGGAGGGGAGAGACTAGACCAGGGCAAGGACAATGACGAGGGTGGAAATGAATTGGAGAGACATTCGAGAGGCAGAATGTACATAGCAGGGCTAATGGGTTAGCTCAGTTGGTCAGAGCAAGGCCTTGTAACACCAAGGTCAAGGGTTCAGTTCCCCATGCCAGCCAACCACCCCCAAAAAGTAAAAAGCCAACCAAACAAAAAAAGAATATACAGAGCATAGGCTGGGGAGGGGAAGGAAAATATCTAGGTGACGCCCAGGTCTCTGATCCAGGTCCCAGTTGGAGGTATGGCATCAGTTAGGATATGGTGAGGGTGGGGTGCTCAGTGGGTGCTATGGGTTGAATTGTGTCCCCCCAAAAAAGAGACATTGAAGTCCTCACCCCCAGTGCTTCAGAATGTGACCTTATTTAGAAACA